TCATATATTTTCTTCTCTTTCGACGTTAAAGAACAACTGAATGAAAAGAAACTAATTTTATTCTCTAAGGAAAAAAGGCATTTACGTGATGGTTAATTGAATCAAAATCAATACAATAACAGTGTTTTTCTCTTATTAACATGAATAAAATAAAAGAGCATAAAAGCTACAAAAAAAAAACATGAATTTATATGTACTCAATAATTCTTCTCCTATTGTAGAAGACTCTGGGTGTTCAATTATGTCTAAGTGAATAAATGCTTCAGAGAAATCTCACATTAAACTGTTCTTTGTTAAGTACTAATAATTATGAAGATGTCTCTGTTTTCTGGGACACTTTAACAGATTTGAAAATATTTTTCAAGATGAAAAAAAAAGAACCGAAATCAATTTAGCATCAATATTGACTGGTTTTCAGTTGAAAATTCTGCAAATTGTAGAAGTATATTACTAATTAAATGTATTGATTAAATTGACAATTTCTAAACTCAATAATTAAGAACGATTTTACTATTATGTTCCAAACATCTTTCTCTCTCTCTATTGGCAACCTGCTGTTATAGAAGAAGAAGTTTAGATTATAATTGTTTGAATTAAAATAAATGCATTAAACTAAAAATAGCACAGATTTAGTTATCTTTAATGAAGTTTTGAGAAGTTTATTTTTCAATTTCTATATGCTATAAATTTCAAAATATACGAAGCAAGTTCATTTCTTGCCATATGTGTTGCTACTACAAACATCGTCTATAACTTATAACGCAAACTATTATATTGTAATTTGTATTTCGCCAAAGGAACTAATTGCAATATTCTATTGATTCACTACAATCTGTTTTTGTAATTAATTATAAACGTCATCTCCTTTTCCTTTACTTGTACAACTTAGACAAGTAACTAACGTTCTATAGCTCTTATTAGACTAAACCTATTCAATAGAAATAGTCTTGTTTTGTATTCATAAATTTCTCTTCTGTGCCACTCTTGTTGTATGATAGATTCTTCTTCACATACTTCTATTCTCGTTGCTTTTGTTATTTCACTCTTCCGAGTACTTTTAACAATATATAGAAATAAGTTTTTATCCTAGATAAAGTGCATGATTGTATATTGATTGAAAATCAAAGTGAAAAAGCTGCTGCTTTTAAATAAAAATACATTGATTTTACTATAGGATTATTCATTTGACTTGTTCTTAAGAATGCAAAGGACGAAGTGACCAATCTGCAATATTCAATTTATAGATTAAAATGAAAAATTAATTCTAAATTCTCAAATTAGAGCCAGGCAAAAAAGTTGTTAGCACAATCCTTACGGAATTAAAAAATGAAACATAATGTTGCTGCTAATTACAGAAAGATTGTTTCATTCTGTCTATTTTGAAATACAGTTCTTTACCATTCTTTTACTCAGTCGTCCAGAAATGTAATAAGGAATTAACTCATATATTATGACGACATGTTATTGATATACAATTTTTGATGGTATACTAACAACATCTGTCACAGCATGTGATAAGGTGAAAAGTGCGGAGAACGGTGAAGCGTTGTTGAGATCTCTTCCATGATCTATGATAAGTCGTTTCTAATGTGTTTGTGACAGTCTATCAACTCCGTTTGTCATGATTTAGAGGGGATATGATAATTTCTAGTCAATATACTTTAACACTCATTTTAGATCGTATTCTACAAATTAATTATGTTTAATCTTACATTGAATTCCTTGTTAGTTTTATTATTTTAGACGATGAGAAGTAACAAATCAAGTATTTCTCTACTGGACATAGAAAGTAGCTCGATTACTTTATCTAAATTTGATATTTTCTAGCATAATAAGATAAAAAAATATAATAACTACTGTAGATACGCTATATTGCTAAAGAACGATTTTCGTCTAATATAAGAAGACATGCTGAAATAAAAGTTGATTAAAATAAAAAGAGAGACTGCTCAAGTTTTAACTAAACAAGAAAGATGAGTGCAAGAGCGTTTTCTTATTATAGTAAATACTGTATAATTTTATTTGAAAAAAAAGTAAACAATATGTTATCTGCTTAACTCAGTTTATCAAAAACTTGCATTTTATTAAATAATTATAATTCTTTTTCTTGCTATTATGCTTTTCTTTATGATATATTAATCGTTAAAAAGCACAAGACAGAAAATAAAATTGAAATACTTTTGAAAATTAGTGTTTTTTAAAGAATTATTATTATTTCAGAAAGTGAGAACTACTAAATAAGTCAAAAATACCCTTATGTAAGTTACAAAGACAGAAGAAACAATAATAGTCACGCGTATTTTTCTGGTTTTCGTAAGAAATAATGCTCTTTTCTTTTCATATGTTCTTTTATCGTGATGCAGAATCTTAATAATATGTAGAGCAAAATAAAAGCTTAACATTAAGAAAGTCAGATATGAAGATATTCATGAGCGGTCTTGTATAATTTATCATTGAAGATTTGATTATTTGTTTTTCTAAAGAACTAAATAATTAGAAATTTTTCAATAAATATAATCAGCGTAAAACGATGTTCATTAAAAAAATATTTATTAATTTACTTGTAACAATACACGGTGGGCAATTTCTAGAGAGCATGTGGACATGGCTTATTTCATGTTAAAATCGATTTTTTTTCAGAGAAATACTAGTTTCTACCCTTCAAAAAACAATCACTGATGAAAAAAACGTGAAATCTAAAAAATAACTTTTTAATGAAAAATCCCTGAGAGGGATCCTTGCCCTAATTTTTTGTCAAAAAACTTTTTATTTGAAAAGCTAACCAATCATACATCATTCGATGCAGTTTTGTGCGCTGATTCTAAATATGATATTTTTATTGAATAAGAACGTCTCTAAAACCGAGAAAAATTGAAAATACCTGAAAAACCATGGTTTTTTTCGAAAACCTGCTGTAGGGTCTACGAACATTTGTACTAACTGTGTTTATTGAGGGCATATAGGAGAACATTCTACCAAAGTTTTAATAAGTTTCAAATTCGGGACTGGAGGAGGCGCTCATTTTGCTAATATAACCGTTTGGAAAATCACTGTGGAAAAAAAGAAATTCTTTTTCTCAGAAATCTTCAGTAGTAATTGCTCACACCCTAATTTTATTAATTGGTAGCGGACATTATACAAATTTATAATATATATTGTTTTTGGTTGTCACTTCAGTGGATTCCGTGAAAAAAATGTGTGTTGTATAGATGACCCTCTATTAAGATTGATGTTTAATTATTTTTTATTATCTCACTTTTCACTCTACTTGAATTTCGTAGTAAAACTTTTAATGCCATTAAGTAGTCCATAGTCCGAAGTATATCTAGCAGTAATTGAATTTTGTAAAAGTGCACTTTCATTTTTTCACCTAATGTCCACTTGGTTGCCCACTGTGAATCGATTATTACAATGTTAAACGAAAAAGAAATGACAAGTGTACGTATTGATTTCCAATCACTAAAGCAGACAAACATTATTTTTCTTGTCTGATAGAAGACATTTGTTTCATAGCATATCATTTTACTTTTCTTTAGATATAAATATGAAAGAAAAATGTTTGTTCAGTTCTTTTTCTTATTGTTGCTACACCTTATGTGTGTCGAAACCAATAAGACGTTCAAAATGATAAATGAATAGTCGTTGATGGTCTTTATCAAGAGTTACGTAAGAAAACACAAGCCAGACTACCAAACGTTAATTGTACAATTGAATTGTTCTACTTCTTAATTTCAGGTAATGATGGAATGTCAAGTGGATTACATGACGCATCGACACTTCTTCAAGAACATCTCCTGAAGTACACTACAATCTTAACGATTCTAATCGATGACCATTCGATGATTCTTGCCATTGAGGTGATGAAAGTTCCTTTGATTATTATGCTATTGACGATGACTTTATTCTTCGTAAACATACATCTATGATTGTAAATGCTGATGTTGATGTAATTAATTATACTCGATGTCATAAAAGAGTTTGTTCACTAATTTCAATGAATTCAAGTTCAATTTTAGCTGACGATACTTTCAACGACTGAACTCTTGTACAATCAAACTTTGAAACAGATTCAGTAAGATCCGTATGAAGTGATTGTCATGAATGTGGAAAAACAGATCCCTATGTCAATCATATCAGTTGAAATGATAATGTTGAAACTAATGTGGATTTTACCGAGGATCAGATTTATTTTTATGTACGCACTAATAATTCAACTACGAATTACACTGATTCAAATTGAATATTATTATTTCTTAATGTTGATGTCACGTATACCAATCGTTCGTTTGGTTACGATCTTGTATTAAACTCAGTAGCTCAGTCATCTGAAGAAACATCTTTTGCATATTAAAATGACAATAATTCATACGTAAGAACAAAAGCGGTTGACATCCTATGCTATGAAAGGCGAATAACTTGAATTATTAGGGCATAGAGTGACTCAATGGTGGTGCAACTCCATCAGATCAATTCAACTTCCGTGTACAGTTCCATTATTAATGGTCACAATAAAAAAATTATAGTTTTCGTTATATATTTCAGTTCTATTGCGTGAATAAAAATGTTTTGCCGAAACATGATGGAAAATAAGAAAAAAATGTTTTCTTTAGACTTGAATATCTTTCACTTTTACCTTTTTTTTTGCTCTTGTTTCATTGAGTTAAAAGTTTTATATAGTGAACAAGGAGAAAAAGTAAATCGTCACAAATGTAATTATACATCGAAAGATATAAACAATTTATCATTGCTATATTCAACTGTCGATTCATAATGGCGTCTCGTCCATTAGTAACGATTGCTGGAGCTACCGGCGCTCAAGGAGGTGCTTATAGTACGATGATTAGTTGAAACAGGCAAATACAAAGTAATGATGATTTATTGTATAACAGTTATTACATAGAAATAGTTATGTTTGTTATTCTCGAAAGATTCATGGTCTAACACGAAATTCAACAAGTGAAAAAACTTAAGCATTAAGACGTTTGAGTGATGACATCGAGATGGTAATATGTGACATAACAAAGACTGATGATGTTCAACGTGCATTTAAAGATTTATGGGCACAACCTAATCAACCCGAAGTCGAGATGCAACAAGGTATTATAACGGCTGATGCTCCTGCCTTACTTAAAATTTCTGATTATATATTCAGTACTGCAGAAGACGTTAACAAACTCAGCGATCGGAAACTGTAAGTATAGACAGTTTTTATAAAATATTTTAATGGACAAATTTTGTTTCTGGATATATATCACATTTTTCACAGAAATCAAGATACGTGATTATATCAAGAAAAAATATCCAAATTTAAAAACTATTTACGTTGAACCTGGATGTTATATGAAAAATTGGAGAAATTTTTTTAACTTATCAACATTAGACGATGGTACAGTTGTATTTTTAGCTTCATTTAATCCAACATCGAAACTACATTTAGTGGATATCGATGATACAGGTCCTATTGTTCGTGAAATATTAACGAATCCTAAGAAACTTGTTGATCAAGATATTTGTGTATGTGGTGAAGAAATCAATTTTGAAGACGTACCAAAAATTTTTTTCGAGAGTAACTGATGTCCCAGCAAAACGAAAAGATTAACAGAAGAAGAATTTCGAACAGCACAAACATGGTTATCCAAAAGTGCACAAGATGATATACTCGCTATATGTACAAATGGCTTGAAGATTATGGTTATCCTGGAAAAGATAAAGATTGGACAAACGGACAAAAATTAACAAAGTTGAATACATTTGAACAATGGTTGAAAAGGTGATTAATAATAGAAGGAAAAATTTATGAGATGAAAATCAGATTGACAATAAAATGTATCTATACGCATTTGTTTGTCTTTTTTTTGTTGTTATGATAAAATACGTAGATTGAAGATTTGATTTCTCTAGTAGATTAAAATATATCACATGCTTTAAAATTAGTTCAAGAATATCAAACCATCCTAAAGTACGGTTATCATATTTTGAAAATCAGGAAATAATATAAAGTACGCAGATGTATATTCGAGTACTTCATTGCACATTCAAAAAAGTCAAAATTCAGTTATGAATAGAAGTCAACTGTTCCTTGCCGTTAATTTTTTTGAAAATTCTAACTAACTGCACTAAAATCTCAATCATTAATAAAACTAAAAGAAGTATTGTTTAGAATAACAATCCAGAATTAAATAAATTAAATACGGTAAATTCATGAACTCAATTCGCTTCTTTCGATTGCAAAAGCTCAGGTTTCTTAACAATTTTATGTTCAGAGATATTTCATTTGACAGTTCAATGCTTCTGTGTTTTCTAATAAAAATAGTCGTCAAAAAAAAATAACTTTAAAATATCTGGCACTTTATTGTTATATTGGAAATTCTTTTTGATTAAAAATGTTCAACTTTTAATGTTTTGATATTAGCTTGTGATTAATTGAATAAATTTGTTTGAAAACTTTGCCAAAGATTTGTTTTAACATGAAGAATGTTCGCTGAGAATTTTCGAGATTTATTTGCAAATGACATTGAGAAAGAATTATATCTTAATTTCGTTGTTATTGAATTTATCAGTTGCTAAAATATGAAGACGAAAAAAATGATTAGAAAATAGAGTATAATATCGCTTCACACCCTTATATATGAATAGCTATGAGTTTCTATTTTATTATTTTTGTCACAGCTTTAGTTAAAAAAAAAAATAAAAGTGGTGAGAAAAGAAGAAAAAAAAAGCGATATAAAACTAATAAATGAAAAACAAGATCGAAGTGAATTTTTATGCTTAAAATGTCTATTCAGTCAATTTGTTTTATAAAACAAGTTTTGACTTTAGTCAATATAATTTCTGTTCAGTTACAACTTAGAATTCAATTCGTTACGCGATGTGAGCAGACGTTCATGACGATGATTTTGACCATAACCGGCAGTAAATGCAAAATAAGCAGTTGAAATGTAGCCAATAATACACGTAATCAAAATTAATATGAAACTATATCCAAGATTCAGATTTGTTGTGCCTCTCGTATAATTTTGTAACACACTTCTCACGTACAAAAGAGCTCCAATGAGAATCATAGTAGACCCAGTAATGAGTAGAATTAATGGTATCAACTTGATCCAATACTTGTTAAAGATTACTCCTAAAATAATCGACGCAATAGTGCCGAACCATAATATAATCACACCAGCAATTGTGAGCCCCTGGGCTGTATTGAAATTGCTTAAACGATAGCATTGTTTTATAGAATCTCCCTGACTAATTAGCGTTTTGCTGCAACCTTCGAACAGACCATAAGTAAGCGTTCCTGGTACAGGTCCGATTAAAATGAGCCAAGTTGGAGTAGTCAAAGCCACAATACCCAAGACGAAAATGATAATACTGAGAATTGCACCACCCAAAGACAAAATTAGAGAAAGTTGCATTGTCAACTATATGATGGTCGTAAACGTCAATAGAGCTTAGGATAGTGTATTATAATGTATGCCGTTATTTGTCAATTGTTATTTACAACCTTTTCATAGTTTATCATCAATCATAAATTAATCATTCCTTATCAAGAATATAAAAAACTTCTGTTTCAATTTGCGTCAGATTGCTCTTTTTTAATCATAAAAGTATATCTCACAAACGTCAATCTCTAAAATAAAATGCAGATCGAAAGGGTTAAGCTATTCAAGTTTTTTACTATTATTACTGGTCTACAAAGTTTTGTTAATTCTAAAAATTTGAAATAGTTTGAAAACTCGTATAATTTCTATTTTCGATAGCAATTTCGAAACTATAACATTTGAGAAAAATCTAATTGATTTTTTATCAAAAATAGTGAAGATAAAGTTTAAATTGTTTTGATTAACACATTTTAAATTGGTAACGAATTTCGAAGATTCACAAAAGTAACTTTGTTAAGATCTATATTTATTCTTGAAATAGAAGAATTCTAGATATTTTTATCTGTAGAAATATGAAATTGCATAGTAAAGCTGTCACTAAAGAAGCAAAAATAGATTCTTGTGAGAAGAAAATATTTTTTATATTTTTTTAACGATTAGAGAAAACTTTCAAAAAAATTAAAGATATCTTATCTCTTTTTGATATCTTGTAGGATAATCATTCATTCGTTGTTTCTTAATAGTTTTCTAAATGATTTTTGTTCAATAAAAATACAACAAAAGAAGTCGGATAATATTGCATAATGCAGATGCCATATGGGTGCATATGTGTGCAAAAAATTATCTGTAATAAAATGAATTGCAACTGTTTATTATGATGGGTGAGTGTTGGTCTTCTTGTACTCTATACTTACGCTCTACGGAATTAAGAAATCGAAATAAAAAAAAAAAGTTTTACCTGATATTGGTGAATTTTTCATTAAAATAACTTTATCAATAAAGTATCGATCTGATGAAATCAAAAGTCATGTTTATGAAGAATATGTTGTTCGACAATTCTATTGAATTCAATGAGGTAATATTGTTATTAATTTACTCAATTTAGATGCTAGACATTTATCAAATAAATTCCAAACTACTAAAGTATCAAATCATTTAGTAATATTTAATTGAGATAAAGGTGAAATTTTTTTTGTTCTGGTGTAATACAGTCAGTTTTTTTTTTTCATATTAACATAGTCATATGCATGTCTTTAAGATATTTAGATTAATCATATAGATATCTACCTAATTAATATTGTCGTCGAAAAATTTCAACACAGATTAAAAGGTATTCGAACTATAAATAAATACAAGGAATTTATTAAAGTCGTACAAGTGTCAAATATAATTAAATCATTGAATGATATGATTGATTTAACTATATGTTCGATTGAAATATTAAAAACACAAAATTGTATAAATATAATTAGTATCGCTTACTGACGAAGAAGATCGAATATTCGATCAACGAACTCAATACAATAAAGAATAACAATGTTACAATGGACAAGATATACGATAATCATGCATGTCTTTCTCAAGAACGTTTTTCCTGTACATAACTCAAAATGTGATACCTTTTCTTTCGTCTCCAATCGGAGTTGTTTTATTACACTATTCGTTTTTAAAATAGTTTAACTTTGTGCACCAGTATGAGTCGTTTCAGACAAAATGAAATATGATCGTCTTTCATTTAATTTTAATTCTTTACAAGGTTTATTCTTTTGAATATGTCTTTTTAGCATAGATATATGTAAAAAAGTTGTCTTTTTCAGTTGATTATTAATTAAAATTAATTAGCGAATATCTCTCTAATCGTATGAGAAAAAAATCTGAAAACATCGGGATAAAGTCTACGACACGAACCACATCTATAGTAAAATTTTTAGCAAGATCAGACTAAAAAAAGCTGCGTCTTAAAAATGATTTTCTAAAAATTCTCTCAAATCCTAAAAACAAAAATTTTTTGTCTCACCATCATCTAGGGATTCTGAAGAAGAATTTGTACCGTTTGAAATTGGTTTTAAACTTCTCATCCAGTTATAAGACCATTTTGTTCTTAATATGTCCGTATTTCGTCACATCGTTAACGAAAAGTAAATCAATTTTTTTGAAAAATTTAGTCATGCTCAGAAAAGCCTATGGATAGAGATTTCATAGACACAAGAGTTATCTACAAAATGTACTATTTAGTTTTCAAAAATGTTGTTATAATTTGGAGTCTTTTTTTAAAACTAAAATGCATGAAGTGAAAGTCAATGTTTCTTTTTTTAATTTCATGTCACTAACGTTAGTTTATTACTAATAACTCCTCTTAGCAAAGATGTCTAGCAGTAACTTTTTTCAGGGTATCTAGAGAAACTTAACACATATGTAATGCATAAAAATAAGCTCTAAGCAAGCCCATTATCCCGATATACAAGTGTTTTAATTTTTCGCTGTAACGCCTTCAACGAATGATTTTCCTTTTAAAACTCCCATATTTCAAATCTTATATAGATTATTTAGAATAAAAGATATATAAATGAAAAGATATGAATTTGAGTCCATCTTAATCAGACATTCGCTATTAGCCAACTCAGTCATTAGTAATCATGAGAAAAAAGTTACATGCGCATGTAAAAGAAATTTTAGAACGATCAGAAAAACAATATAAAACATATGTATGGTAAAAATATGTAGGATTTATTTTCATATATGTGATTCAAATATACAAATACAATTTCATTTATAAGTTGAGTTTCTTCATCGTTCCACTTATATGTACATACGAACTCGTTCAGATAAGCAAACTATTATAAATATGTATATGTGAATGAAGCAGTGCATGTCATTCAATCAAATCTGAATGTTTATTTATAAATAAAATTTTACGAAAAAAATAATAACACTCGATTGACATAGAATGCATTTAGTCAAAATGTTGTCTTTTTTCTTCGTATTAAGCATTACTGAAATGCATGTATATATTGTTTTCTATTATTAAAAAAAGTATGTACGATGAAAGAAATAGATTTCATATAGTATTTCAATTTTCATTAAGTTTGATTACTTCTATTAGTTTCATTAAAGTTTGAATGATCAAACATTGTTACATTATTTTCATGCATTGTAATCACCTCTATTGAAACCATGTTATTTGTCTCATAAGACGAAGAACTTTTCGTCTGAATGTTGGACTTGAAAGTGTATACAGATAGAAAGCAGCACTGTAGTTTAGATACGGTACGTTAAATGACATGCTACTTAAGAATGAACTAATAACTGAAATTGGAGCCATTTGTGGCGGAGAAAAGATCAGATTATAGATTAGATAGAATAAATAAAATGAATTGCATAGGCAATCCGTACCTACTTGAACAAATAACATAATTAAAAATTGACCGATCACTCTACGTTCATTGTTTACATTAAAAGTCATTGGCATAACATGTGATTGCATCAATTTTAAGTGACCAAGAGTAATTAAACCATATAGAATCATGAATAACGGAATAAATAATCCTTGGGCAAGTGTAGATATTGTTAAAAAGGTGGCATAGGTAGTACCTGGCGGTGCCAAGCATTGCCCATATATTATAACTGGGAACACCAAAGTGGGTATAAAATAAACACAACATAGAATCCAATTGATAGCAATCAAGCGATATGCCACTTGGGACCGACTTGTCGTACGCATGCATGCACTTCTTGAACTAGCACACATTCGATCAATACACGCTAATAAAATAGAACATCGATAAATAAGAAATAAAGTACTAATTAAATATGTGCGCCAACGACAAAACCATAGAAATTTTGTACTTGGATCAATATTCCATATACCACGAAGAATACGAAGTACAAGACCAAAATTTAATATGAAAATATTAACAATTGATGCCGATAAGAAATAAAGTAAACATGAATTTGAACGTGATGAACGTTGACTAAGTATGATTAAGTTCAAACAATTACCGATATTTCCCAAAACAAAACAGATAGGTAGTATAATGTGCTGGAAGTACCATTGAACATTATTGAAAATGATTCCAAGATCTGCAATCGATGTATTCGACATCTTTGCAATTAATCAAATTACTTTAATTAAGGCAACAGCTATGAATTTTGAAGAGTTATCTCAAAGTAAAAAAAAAAACGTAATCTGAAACTCTAATGTTTTGATATTTGGTTAGTAGCTGTTTAAGAGTCGATCTTAGTAGAATCTAAAAGAAAATTGCATCTATTTACAGGTATAAATGTAGGATAAACAAAAGTGATATTTCATTGTAAGAACAATTTAAAATGTACTTTTATTAGAATAGAAAAAGTGAAAGATGTCAAAAATCTTTCATCGTTTAATATATGCTAATGTGGCGATAATGCCCTATATATCTGTATTAGAACCTTTTTTTTTCTGTTTATGATTTGTATCAAAGAGCATTTCGAAACGCTCAATTTACTCTTTTGTATAGAGAGAAGAAAAGAGAGGAATGCCTTTGCTATTGAATAAAAAATTTAGAAAAAAAACACATAGTGAACTATAATAAACATGCTTAACGAAGTATCAAAATGTAAAAGAGAACATAAGATGTAATCTTTCATCCATAGTAAATGAATAAGAGGTTCTTTTTTCTTCAAAAGCTTGTTTTAGTAAAATATAATACATACATGTGCATGATTGTACTGTTGAAACAAAGTTTTTTAAGAGTGATCATGTGGTCACTTCTTCTCTCGACTTTTTGGAATAAGTCATTTTTTTTGTCAGTACAAATATTTTTCATGAAATATAAATAAATGTTATCAATCTTTATATATCGATTAAAATTTTGAAATCTTACGAACACAATCGGATTACTAATTTTGATTATAATCGATCAAAATTCTTCGAATTGATTAAGAAATCGAAGTCTAATTGGTTATAGTTTCGATTTTGTTTCACAATAATCATGGTGAAAAATCATCATATATTTGACTTCAGTCTAATTTTGATTTACTTTCTGCACTGCTTTACCGATCTGTAAACGATAAGATGAAATAAAACTAAATGGAGATATTTCCTATTAAAAAAGACAGAAAAATCATCCTTTTTTGCATGATAATTTGTCTTTTTCTATTCTATACTACTTGTTAATCGATTTCAACCTCTTATTATGTCTTAATCAATTTAAATCATTGTCACCAAAAATCAGCACTTTTCTCAAAATTCGAATGCAAATATTCCAATTTTTCATGTTTTTTTTTTGATTGCTTGTGTTTAGAAACCATGACATTGTCATCAAACTGAAGAATGGCGAGCGAAGTAAAGTTGAAACTTCTATATAAAATGTTTCAAAATGAGATGGTGCATCACATTATAAATCGAAAACAACCGATGAATTTTATAAGGTATAGTTAGTAGAACTAATTATCTACTATTCGAAACTTTTGTAACTCATCTTTATGATTCTAAAGATTAGTTCTCAATAATGTGTAGTCTAAAGAAATAATAGAGAAGAAATAGACAGTTTGTAGTTGCTTGTGCTATATGGTACACCGAAAACTGATATGGCTCTTTGACTTGCCATCTAAGTACAAGCTGTTATCTTTTAGAACTTGTTGACTTGTTTCCTGACGCGCACTCAACTGACATGGATATGAAAACTTCCTGTTGATCGAACTACCATCCCCTATTCCTTGTATTTGTCTGAATAATTTGCTTCTAATATGTACTCTACTGATATTTACCAAACCCCTTTATAATCAATTGAAAAGATGAAATTGTAATGAGCAACAAGAAAAAATTTTAATATCTAAATCAAAAATTGATTTAGTAGATTTTATATTTATTATTCAATAGCGCCACAAGATATTACAAGACGCGATATAATAAATCGTTCATTTTTTGTTTAATTTTCGGCCATTTCATATGAGGCCATCATCAGAACATATATTTTGATGGAACATATAATAGTCATTTTTAATTCAATTTCATAATGATTGTTGTACAATTATTTGTACGATATGAATGAAATAAATAAATAAATAAATATTAAGACCATTCAATGAAAGTAAACCTATTCGAGGTTCAGTAGGACGGATGCGTACCAACAAATAAGACCAATACGGTTTTTTTTTGTTTGATGAATAGTTGGTGTTGTTGTATCTGTGAATAGAGATAATATTGTCGTGTAGATAGATGCTTTTAGTTGTTTCATACATTAAATGTATTATTAAAAAGTTGGATTTGAATAAACAGAATGTATCTAATTGAATGAAGAGGAGCATTAGAAGACAGCTAAATCAAGTTTTGATTGAATAGGTTTAATTTTGATATGCAATACCTGGAAGGACAAGTAACAAAGTGAGTGTATATAAAATGTAATAAATGTTTTTTTTTTACTTTTAAATGATGATAATGTTGAAGTTTCGGGACTACGATGCGATCTTCGAAGCATAGCGATGGATTTTATAGTGGTGTTGTAGGTTGTTGTAGAACATGTTTAATGAAAATAATAAGTATTATCGATTTAATAATACCATCAGTACTATTTGCACCACCTGTAGGACCGATGTAACATTGAAGACGATGTACACGAAGTTTTATAATATTAAGAATTTTGTGTCTCTAAATAGAGAAAACTATGTAGCATGTAAATAGTTGCTCTGAATAGTTACATTTTTTGATTCAAAGAATAGGTGAATTGTTTTAATAAACATAATAAATAATTATTATAGAAGTAAAGTAACAAGATAGTTGGAGATAAATGACCAATTAATTTATTGTATAATGATAATTTTCTTTGTGTTTCGATAGTTTTGGCATCAATTAAAAGTCAACCTGTAAAAAAAAACAAAGTAATATTTTAATTATAAATATAGAATCGTTGAATTTGTGGACATTTTAGAGGCGATCTTCGGAACATGATGATGTATTTTGTAACGCTGTTGTACGATGTTGTATAACCTGAATAATAAAAGTAATAATATATTGAATATATTTAACACGACCAGGACTCACTGTAGCACCTATAACACGTATTTGACAATTGATAAGGCCTGTACCACCGGTATAAGAATGAATAAGACCTGTACCACGTATGTTACAGTTAACAAGACCTATCCCACATATTGAGTAATTAACAGATGTTTTACTAGTTTGAATATGTTTTTGGTTTTTGTATCTGTATATAAAGAAAATATGTACAATGTAAATATTGGATATAATTCATACGAACAATCAGTTATAATGAGAACGATGTATTGTTTTATAAAGATAATAATTGTTGTTGAACGGCCCGACGTTTTTATATTTTCTGTGGACGAAGAGAATGAACTGGAGCTAATAGACGATGAATATTATTTTATTCATTGTTTTTCTGTCCTGTACCACCTTTGTATTGATTGAAATGATATTCTGTAATGAGAGAAGTGGTGAATTATTTGAATATTTCGTCTGGGTAATTCTTACTGTTGATGATGAAAATATTATTTGTCGACTACGATAAATGTTAGTATAAGTGAAACAACAGTAAATATATTGAAATAATCGACAATTTTGTTTGTGTTGTTGATCATATGGAGGTGTTTTGTTTGAGTTTGAATAATTTGATGAATCACGTGCTGGTGTCAAATGTAGGTAGATTGATGATGTATCGAATCTATTTTGAGAACCTGTTTAATATATGAGTTGTTTTTTATGTATTATATGCAAATAAATGTTGTAGAAGGTGTTTTACCATCAGGAATAAATGCAGCAGGACTACCAGAGAGAGAATCAGTTGCTTTTACAATACGATGTTGTGATGATAATGTAGTAGAAATCTAGAAATAAAAAAAAGGTTTATATTGGTTTTTGAGTTGGGAATGGTAGTGATTCTACGGTTGCATTGTTTATCGGCTCGCAATTGTTTTCCTAACTCGTACTACAGAATATATATCGTAGGATTTTCATGAACTATGTAGTTGATGTATTGGTTTATTTGGTGAAAATGTTTTGCCTTTTCGAAGTTTTCATGGTATTGGGAATATGTTTTAACTTCTTAGATTTTCTTTATTGTATTCAATTGTTGTTCAATGTTATTTCTATACATGAAGTTTTTTTTTCATGATTCTATTGTCTAGGGTTCGTACTGCATGTCCTTTTTTTTCGATATCGATTTATTGCGTAATTTGTCTGGTAGAAGGTATTGCGTATATCAATATTTTGTGCATATTGCGTCATGCACTTAATTTTTTTGTTTTAATTACGCAGTGATATACAGTAGAATTGAATAATAGCTGTGCTTCTTCTGTTCGTTCTCGTTGGGTATTTTCTAGTGAATTTTTTTTTCTATTCTGTTGTATCTTCTTTCTCGTCTGTCTTTTTTTTCTTTCTGGTGTATTAGTGATCGTGTTGTTTTATATTTATTACTCTATTTGCCTTTGGGGAACGACATTATTCAGTCATGATATTATTGTGATGGAATATGTTATTTGTTCATCTCTTCTGGTATGCTGTTTTTTTTTATTCGTAGTAAAATATTTTTTTTAATTAAAAATTGGTTGTTTGAATCAGTATGAGTATCTTGTTTCTGTTGATAATGTTAGGCTGGTGTCTTATCTGATAGCGCAGTAGAGCTCGGTTCAGTATAGAACTTTTTTTTTTTTATAAGGGCAGAGGTTTTTTTCAAAGGTTTTTATATATAACAGTCAAGAGTACTTACATGTTTTAAGGTTGAAATCAAAATTATTTCATCTGTTAATTTTTGAATTAAAATAATACAAGATGATGAATAGTTGAATTAAATGTTTTTGATTTATTAGTTTTGATTAAGATCGACGTTACTAAAAATGTTGGAGATTAGGTTTATGAGTAAAACTGGGGTTTTGCTTACTTTGTTGTTGATGAAAAACATTGTGATTAAGGTTCACTTCTTTTGTATAGCATTAATATGATAATTCATTTGTAGTATTATGTAAGAAACAGAAATAGCATCGACATCTTGAGAATTTATGTACATTATTTACACGAGAGATATAGTTGTTGATTATTGAACGGCATCTATAATAGAAAAAATTATTTTGGTTTATGTTCAAATAAGATATCCGTTTTTGTTACCTGTCATTGTTGGAAGACGTACTCGATCGATAGTCTTCTTCCTTTTGTTTATTCTAATGCCATTTGGAAATACATATAGTGGCATAGACCTTTCATTTCCGTTCAATTTTGGATCTATCGCTTTGATTAAGAGCGATTCTTTGACTCTTAGTCGATATCTATATCGTTCCGTCAATAAAATACTAAAATCATCTTTAGTAAACATATGACGTGTTTTTATATAATGTTTACTAATAGCTGATTTTGGTACTGGAGGTTCTTCATTTTTTAATTTTACTGTTGTTTGTTTCAATAGTTCATCAATATCATCTTTGTATAGTATAATAGATGAAGATGGAAGTTTTCCAGTTCTTGATCGTGTTATTGGACCAGTATAAAGAGGAATTGGATTTTGAGAAGTTTTTTTCTTTTTTTTCTTTTTTTCTGGAATTTTTACAGGTTGAGGCAAAAATTTTTTTTGATCGTACAGATGTTCATTAATACGTGTTTTTAAATGCCGGCATGTTTGTCCTATATATGAATTATTACATTGAGAACAAGTTGCCTCATAAACTACACCAGCTTTTAATTCATCCGACACAGCATCTTTATTTTTAAAGCTACGTCCAATACGATCTGGAACATCATAGACAATCCGTACTTTTTTAAGAGGATATTGTTTAGCCACTGCAGATGTTACAAGCTTCCCATAGACTTGAGACTCTTTTCCTAAATACGGTATTTTAAATACTACTGTATCAGTACTAAGAGTTGGTGGTACAGGAGCAGAAGGTTCATATTTTAAATTTAATTGTCGTTTAATAATTGAATCGACAAAATTAGAAGGATAACCATTCCTCTTCGATATTTTTCGAATAAATTGAAACTCTGCATGGAGTGCTTTATATGATGAACATATTTGAATAGCACGGTGTACCATAACAGAGATAGTATTATATTTATAAATTTTTGGAACGAAGCTATTCCATTTTGTCATAAGTCCAGTGAAGGTCGGTTTTCTGTAGATACGAGTTTGAAAACCGATACCTTCTTGTCGTTGAATAAGTACGTTTAGAAATGGTAGTTTGTGTGTAACTGCATCTTCCTCCTGAGAAGTGAACTTAACAGAAGGATGTAATTTTGAGAGTTCAGCACAAACTTTATCTGTAGAAAATTTTGGGTTCAACAATACGAAGGTATCATCAACGTATCGTTTCCAGTAAAGGATGCCCAAATTTTCAAATGATGATAAATTTTTTTTCTCAAATTCTTGAAGAAAAATTTCAGCAAGTAGAGGAGCTAATGGAGAGCCCATTGATACTCCATCTATTTGATCGTAAATTTTTCCATCAAAGAGAAAATGAGATTTTGGCGTAGCGAAGGTCAGAAGCGCCTTCAAATCGTTCCGTTCAATAATAGGTGGTACAGGTCGATCTTCATATAATTTTTTGAGAATAATATTAATTATTTCATCAACAGGTATATTTGTATATAAATTGACAACATCAAATGATACCATTTTGAACGTTGAGAGAGGATCATCTAATGCATGCAGATCTTTAACAAAAGAAGATGAATCTTTAATCATATTCTTGTTGTCTATCAGATCTGATAGCATATGAGTAAGAGCCTTCCCAAGTCCATAATTAAATGTTCCTATTGATGAAAGAACAGGTCGAAGTGATACAGGTTGTTTATGAACTTTTGGAAGTCCATAAAGTCGTCCAGGATTGGATCCAGTAGGTCGTGCAAGATAATAAAATTGATCAGTAATTTGTCTTTGGTCGTGTAATTTTCGTAATAATGATTTCAAGTTATTCTCTCGTGCTAATGTAGGATCTTCAGATAGAGAAGAAAATTTAGATGAGTCATTGAGAATAGACTGAATCTTATTCACGTAATTGTGCTTGTCCATTAAAACAACACCTCTTCCTTTATCTGGACGAGTAATAATTATTGACGTATCTTCTTTTAATTTTTGTAATAATTTACGATAATTTTCTTGATCAAAATCAAATTTATTTTTTTGTATTTGACCTCGGTTAGCTCTTTGTAGAAACGATTTAGTTAAGGAACTTAAATCATTAGCCAAAGACAGCTCTTTCGTGTTTAAAACACGTACATCGCTTTCACTAATGGCTTCATATTCCTTGTGTTCATTCATAAATTTCTTTTGATGCTGATACACATCAGTAATACGATGAAAAAACGTTTCTACATTACTTGCAACATTCATAGAATTAATAGATTTTGGTGGTAAAGAGTAATCCAATCCATTGGAGAGACAAATAAGTTCTTCATTAGATAATACGCGTGACGATAGATTAGTTACGACTTTTGCATTATAATAACGAGTCGAATTATTAACAGGACATAATGATAATAATTTTTTATTTAATGTTCTTCGTTTTTCATCTATTAATTGTGAGCATTCCGATATAATAATTTCGAAAAAATGTTCGAACAAATCAGCAGATGATAATTCACGAAGATGATCGAGTGAGGATACATAGATTATCTTTAATTCATTTAATTTTTTACGTTTTGCATCGATTTCGACGTTGAGAAGCTTAAGTTGGCAAGCTTTATATACTGGTGAAGACGATAGATCATTATTAGCTGTTTTAAACCATAAGAACGACGGGATAATATCTTTTCCACGGCATATTTTTAAAAATTCGATGTCGAGTTGAACAGCATCCAAACGATAGTAATATTTCTTTACATTACGATAAGTGTATAAAACATGACTTCCCAGATGTTGACGGATATACTGCTCGATATCTACTGTAGGATATCTATTTCGAGTATTAGACGAATTCATGATTGAAGTAAATCGAAAATTTCAATAATTCAAGAAGTGTCGACGATAAAACTTTCCTAGAGCATTAATCTAGAACACAAGCAGAAAAAAAGATTCTATACACAAACCACAGCTACAAGAGAAAAACAAATAACTTTCGACTAATAAGATTTCACGAGAGACCCCCATAAAATTAATTCGAACATAAGATATTACCAATGAGAGCATCGACAAGTCACCCACTGTTCGCGCACATGCGAACCTATTCAACGAAAACATAGACCCGAGACAGAATCGAAAGAACGAAAAAAATCCGAGAATTACCCAATAGCCCACAAGAACTGAAACAAGCACATCGACCTTCTGAAACAAATACACTCTTTCACATAATCATAATGCACATAATACACCTCACCCTTTCACCAAAAAACTAATATTATTGCTTCCATTTCAGATCATCCAAATCATATACCACCTGTAGGACCGATGTAACATTGAAGACGATGTACACGAAGTTTTATAATATTAAGAATTTTGTGTCTCTAAATAGAGAAAACTATGTAGCATGTAAATAGTTGCTCTGAATAGNGCTTTATTTCACTAATTCTTCTCCTTTTATAGTTACATTCCCCTGCTTCGGGGCACGTCAATCAACCGGAGAGAAGGGAAGAGAACACGACAAAAAGGAAGAGAGACACATGTCAAACAGGATAGATGAATTTGAACACATAATAGATATTATCAGTGTGTATAGAGAAAAGAGTCGTTATGTACATTAATTAAGATAGAGCGAGTGCTTATATCAGCACAGTACTATCTGTTGGTTAAAAGCTTGTCTAGCTGCTAGTTGTCGTCTTTCCCAACTCCAATTACGATTTACGGCATATTGTGCATCTTCTCTAAGAATATACACACGGAGTCCCATGCCACTCACATATTGCACTTGCAAAATAGTATGTGGTTCATTGTATAGAACGCAATACATTTCATCAAGCATGAAACCATTTTTACAGAAGATAATATATCCATAACCTCGTGCAATCAACCGTTGATAATGCTTAATTCGACAAAGACAAAAAGTTAGAGCTCCAACGGCTCCAAGATAATAAAAACTTTTTCTATTGGATCCGTACAAATAATTGACATATCTTGTCCATAGATCACCTTCAAGTTTGACTAAACAGTGAACATTTTTTCGCAACAAATGATACTTTCTTTCATTCATATAGTTCTTTGCGCCATAACGAATAGCCCAAATTAATATGAAGCCTGTGAGAGAAGCGAAGGAAATACCGATTATGTATGTGGTGTTCGATGCTGAACAAGCGTTCCTTGATTCTGGTGAGCATAAATTGACAGCCCAGGTAGACCATGCAATGCAAGTAATAAAAAGTGATGGAATGCAGCCTACAAAGAGATATAACCGACGATGATAATCGGCTTTTTTGCTCGCTTCAACTATGCTGTTAACAATCTCATCGTCTGATAAAATGCGATCACAACTAGGCCCAAAACGACCATCTATATTAATTGCGGTATCACTTTGTTGTTGTTGTTGTTGTACGTGGGAATTCGGACTATTGCTCATAACTGAAGTTAGGTTGCTGTTAGATGGATTCGTCTCAGGCTCTTGAACAGCAGCCATTTCAGATAGGTCTTCATTTTTTAACACTTGTTCTTCATTAGCTAAAGCTGTTGCTTGTTGTTCTAGTTGAGGCAACTCGGCGGCCATGATTTTATTAGAAAAGATATGTGTACGTTGTTTATTTAATGTAGTTTATAATAGAATACGAAAAGAAACTCATTCTTCAGTTTATTAACAACAAAGATAACAAAGAGCGAAGGCGGTTGTTGCTTTGACATTGTTTGATTATAATTATGAAGATTTTTTTATCATCTGACACTCATAACTTTGCCAATTCAGAAGTTCTTAATTAAACTTAGTAGATATGTAGGTATAGTCCTATTAATAACAAGTGATTATATGTTCTACTAATTGTCTTACTAAGAGAAAAAATAACAGCGAGTAATCAAGTCTACGAAATTTTTATTTCAGACAAATAATACTAAAAACTATCACTGTCATATAATAAAAAATTGCTGAAAATATGAGTTGCCAAGTTTCATATTACTATCTGATTTTTTGCAGCTATGATCGAGAGCATATCGAACTGTAAGATTACAGGTTATATTTTTTTTTTTTATTACATAAAAATATTCTTTGTAAGATTAAATGACAGAACAAAAGCCTTATATTACTAAATGAATTCTATGCCGACTCCATTACAGAGACATGTATACTCTTCTATAGGTTTTATTGCATGAAAGCAGATGTATCAAAATATAATAACTAGGGTTGATAAACTGAATTTCTTTTTCTTATTCGATAAATCGCTAATTTGTTACATTATTTCGATTATTTTAAACAATATATTCACGTATGTAATTTACTTGAATATTACATAAGACAGAGAGTTATTGCCGTATACACTATATATCACATCGTTAGTTTTCAACATATGAGAACAATGCGCAAAACTCTTTGTTACCTAATCAATATTTTTTGTCTTTTTTTTTTATCAAAGTTTGTGCTATTTTATTCACTTGACTGAAGGAAGTGTTATTAATAATAATTCGACGATAAATACATTGTTTTATTTTTCTTTTGGGGTAAATAGTTTACTATATTTTCATGTTGTTCGTCATGTTATCATCTAACTAGTATGTTGAAAAGTCTTGTAGATTGAGAAGACACTACTTTTATCAGAAGTAAACAGAGATAAGTATTTTAATTATCTTTCCACTAAACACTAAAAAGTCAGGATCAAGTTTAAAGTTTTACGTGACTTTTTTCAAGAATAGATAAAATTTTCTTCCTTCTTATATTTGTTCTATTAAAGTCGAAAGTCGAATTCCGTATGAGTTTTACTTTTCGTGTATATGCTTCAAATAACTTTAACTTAACTATGTTACTAATGTAACAATATTAACAAATTTGAGTCTTTTTTCCTAATTAAGGTCTTCAATAATATACGATTATCACTGCCAATTGATCATTTACAACAAAAAAAGATGAATACGAGCGTTGTAATATGAGAATTAAACACATTGAAACTGGACGAATTTCTTATTCATATTGAAACTAGTATTAGGAGATAAGAAATCGTTAATTTTAGTCATGTTAAAACCGTTGTTGAAAATCTCAATGATCTTGTATCAGACGTATCTATCATAAATTTAATTTAATATTGTTATTCAAATCCGTAAAATAGATTCATGTTAAATTGTATTTACTATTGCAAAGATAAGGTATTACATATTGACTAATAGAATACTGATACCATAATGACTTCGAAGGAAAAAAAAATTGAAAGTGACACAGAAAAGTATTATTTGACTTTGATATGTAGTGTTGTTAACTACAGGCTTATTTCCAACAGTTAGTATGATGATTTGCTGTTACATCTCAATGTTAATACTATTTAAGAAAATATAAAGAAAAATAAATAATATTGATATTTAGTGTCATTTCATTTCTTAGCGACGTGACTGAGTATTAATGTACAAACAAAAAAATCAAATGAGATGTTCAAAATCAATTCTAAACGGTACAAATTCTTCCTCATAATTTCTTGATGATGATAAGATAAAAGTTTTTGTTTCAGAACTTGAAAGGATCTCTAGAAAAATGGTTTCTCAAAAGAAATTTTTTAAAGTTCGATCTTTTTGAAAATTTCACCATAAATGCAATGGTTGTTGTAGAGTTTATCCCGAAATTTCCGGAGTTTTTTTTTCTCGTGTGCTTAGAAAGATATTTGCTAATTATTTTTAAATAAATATTCAACTAAAAGAGTTAAGATTTATATATATATATATATCTATGTTAAAACAACTTATTCAGAAAAAAATTCTTGTAAAGAATCAAAGTCAAAGGAAAGGAGAGAGTATGTTTCGTTTTTCCTGAAATGGTTCATGTATTAATTAGCGAAAAAATTTTGAATTTTTTTGAAATAATACTTTCTTATATTAATCTTTGACATGAATGATTTATATAAGATAGGTAAAAAATAATTTTAGAAAACCAATCTAATTCAATTATATGTCTATTGAATTCGACTCTCACTAAATGTTTTTTTTTCGTTAAAAGATTAGAGTTGACTCCTACATAGTATCGATTTTTTATTTAGTATCGATTCTATTTTTGACAATAATAAGTTAATAACAATTAAGTTTCGAATTCTTGATTCAATTCGAACTACTAATATTTATACTTAAAGATGAATTCAAGTTCGTAGCATAAGAGAGAAATAAATAAATTTCATGCAGAATATTTTCATTGATGCTTTTATAATAGAGAATAATCATGTTAATGTTCATAGATAATCGATTTTCTTTAAACATTTAAATTCATACAAAAACGAAGAAAATTAATTTCAAATCCAAATACTTATCGACGAATTTGTAAAGAAAAAAATTTCTGTTGTTTTTTATTTTTAGAAAATATTTTTTTAGATTGATTTATTCTTTCAAAAGTAAATTATTAAATAATATTAAATATAGAAATTATCAATAATAAAATCTAAATCATGAAAATAAGTTTCTGTGTAATATTAATCCTTCGTATATAATCCGTCATTAGTGCTGCATCAGTGAATATTTTTACAAGGTATAATTACTATTTCTATTTCGTAGTGGATATATTAGTTAAGCATCATGCGATTCATTATCTATATTTTTCTCTCATAATGCCTAATTCACATAATAACGATCATATTATGATGAATAGGTCAGTTAACATTCAAAATCGAGTCATACCTTTTTGTTATATTCATCCACATAGTATAAATAGTTAAAACATGTGTATTATTAATAGCCTTTTTTCTTTACTAAAAAATAAGGTAAAAAGGTGCGAATCTACGCATGATTTTTAGTCAATATATATATATGCATTTACTTTTATTTTGCCGTTGACATACACTATTCTCGTGTTTTCAAATATTGACTAAATCGATTTCAAAATGGGGAATGACACATCAAAAGAAAAATTAATCAAAGACGGCAATGATATTCCAAAAAAGAAACGATATTCAATCCTACTTCGTTTATCTGGTAAATAATTGATTATTTTCCTAGAAATTTAAATAAATTCTTTCATTTTTAGAGACTAAAGCGGAAGAGGAACACATAGAACTCAATGAACAAGGTAAAATGTATTTCTGTTCCTATATATATTGACATTGCTAATTTGTTTATTTTATTTAGAACTTCAACAAGTGCGAGATGTAAGTTTGTATATTAATTATTTTTCTTTCTCTATTCTTTCGACATTTAGATCTACCGTCGTTCATCTGATATGTCGATTTATTCTCCTTTTTGTTTTGTACGATAAACAGTATTGCTGTATATTTATAAATAAAGATTTAGTTTTTTGATTTTATACTCTACGTTTCGAAAATGTTTCAATAGTATATATATCGAAGAAAATAGATTTTTGATTCATACTTGTCCATTGTACGACTTTAACGAATTGTTTAAAGTGATGTTCTTTGAAGATGTTTATCTGTTCGAAAAAGTAAACTCATCAAGAAAATACTAGTCGAATAGATCATTCTGAAGAATAAACAAACGAAATAGAACAATATATGAAACTATGTGATTATTATTTTCATTTTAATACCATTTTAAAGATTGAATTAGTACTGATTTTGTATCTGGCATAACAATATCATCCACACTCATTGAAAAAAAAAAACGTATAGTTGTTTAAATTTGACACACAATTCCATCAATTAGAAAGAAAAACATGAAATCTCATATTTGTTGTAATATCAGCCTTCATGCTTGTAAATGTTTCTTGTTAAAGGTTTTATCAGATCGACTATTGAATTCTACATAACAGAAAAAAAATGATTAATTACATAATATGATATCTCACATATTTGAATACAAAGATTGCACTTAACTTCAGTTCATGCGAGCTCTCAATATATGACGTAGTTGTTGTATACATTGATCTCGAAAAGAATAACAAGTTCGATTGTTAATCGCTTAAAAACAGTCGCTCAACAAATTCAATCTCTATGATATGTTGATTGTATAATTTGGATCAGATTAACAGATAAGAAAGTCTAGTCTATATGATAGTGATGTTAGATGGAAATAAATCTGCTGCAGTTAAGAAGTCATCGTGACAATCTCCCAGGAAATCTCGACACATAGAATTACTGCTTTTTCTTCACACAGATTTTCTTATTTAAAAAACTCCAATATTTAGTAAAGTGTGGATTTGTATAGGAAGTGACTCGCGTAGCGATCAGATGATAAATCACCGGCAAAAGTGAAGAGACTTGAAATTCAGAAACGTGAGATGATAAACATTAAATCATGGTTATTATTAGACAATCATTTTCTTATTCTTTAATAATTTCTAATATTCATACTTGCATTTTTTCGACAACATTTGCTTAGGATTATTTCTGTACTAAGAAGTTTCATATTAGAATGAAGTTTCATGAATAAAATACAACAATATTTAATCTTTCATCATCAATTATAGACACAATCGACCATATCAAAATTAACATTAGTAATTGTATGTATATATAGCTTTTATGACTATTACAAAGAATATGTCACATATATTATACATGACTAATATTATACGTCAAAAAGTTTTTTTTTTTCTAAAAATAAAACTATTGAAGTGTCGTGATTATAATTTAACGTATCTCCCTCATCAACATTTCTTCTTTCTCCTTATTTTTTTCATCCTTACTTACCTTCTTTCTCTATTAAATTTTCCTTTTTCTCTTTTATTGCGACAAGATCATGTTTTGTACTGAAACAGACAAAAGTGTCTTTTAAGTATCACACATTAAGATATTTGACTACTAGATCATTTATATGTGAAATGCGCACTAAGTTCATCATATATGAAATGAACACAAAGATGTGAGTGAGGGTCAAATTGTAGGTTAAATTAGTTATGAACAAAAATAAGCCTCATGCTCACCGTCTTAGTTCAATATTTTCAAACTTAACATTGTTGTACTATTGCATGAACTGTATGGAATGCTTTGACTATACTCAAAATTTGGTATTCGTCATTTGACATTTTAAGCCACATTGAAAGAAGTTTTGAATTGTATATCATTAGTATCCAATGTCTTTAAATACGAAAAATGATTCTTTTTTATGCTATTATTTTCAAATTTTTATGGGAACAATATCAATTGACTAAGTTTACTATATATTTTTTTCATTTGGTACTCACTTGCCTTATCTTTTCGTGATCAGTTCACATAGAACTAGTAATTTATTGGTTAAATGTCTTAATTTGTGGTGTTCACAGTCACTATCGTTCTCTAAGATAGGCACAACTGGATACTTGAAATAGATCAATAAGGATCACTACCGCGATGATTATAACACTATAGTTTTATGTCATTACACAGAAATTAAAAGATTCTATTGAGTCCATGACTTTGTAGATCATAGTGACAAATGCTACCTTATAAGACAGAAACATCAAACAAATTTTGATTTCCTTCCATTCATGTTTATTCTTCGAGATAGCGATTATACAAGGTCAGAAGTACGTTCTTAATTCAGAACTTTATTGTCACTATACTCTTTTCTGTTACACTACGGAATATGAAGGAAAAACTAAGATGTAAATTTTAGAAAATGAATTTATTCTAGACTGTCTCTCTTATATTCAAAGTGTCATAATAAAAATCAATAATGAAAAAAATTTAATCATACACTATCATGATTTTTGTTTTGCATAAAGAAACAAAAAAAAAATTAGAAGAAGTCTTACGAAAACTATTAGTTGGTCTGTAACAACATACAAATGTATAGAACAAACAAAAGAAAAAAAAAGAAACGTTCGTATCAAACTTTATTTTGCAGAACTGCATTTGTTTATAAATTAATATTGGCAATGTTCATAGGAAATCATATACACTTGCAAATGAATAACTGACCAAAACCACAACAGAACAGTTTTCAGAATCAGCGGTTGTTTCTGAACGACAATAGCAAAACCATAAATGTTAATACAAACCGTTCAAACACTGATTATATGAGCAAGTAAATCGAACTAAGAATTCATTTGAAGAACTTATCTGTGTGCTTGAGGGTGTAGGTGGATGTGGGGTGTTGGTGCCAGAGCTGCCACCAGGCCGGTCTGCCAGGCCATCAGAAAATTTGAAATTCAAATCTGAGTTGATCTGTTTACATTATATTGAAGTAAAATGGGAGACTAGCTCAGACCAGAGACAAGTTAGGAACTTCTGTGAATTGGCACTCAAGTAATAAATATGCATCAAAGTTTCGCTGGTTCTTCTTAGCGTTTATTAATTAGCGAACTAAAACTCCAGAACACCTGAGGGTGTGGACGGTAGAGAGCTGCACCGAGTTTTCTGAACCCGACCAAAGAATCATGAGCCATTCTATGATATCAAATATATTGAATCATTATTTGAACATGCATTTTGTAGAGAAATGTTTGCTCTTTCAATCTATGTAATCAGAAGTATACAACAGCCTTTCATAACCAAGATTTTCTTAAATAAATGGGTCCGGATCCAGAGCCCGGGTCTGGACCCGGTACAAGTTTTGACCCTGACCTACTTATTTAAAAAAATCTTCGTTATGAAAGGCTGTTGTATACTTCTGATTACATAGATTGAAAGAGCAAACATTTCTCTACAAAATGCATGTTCAAATAATGATTCAATNGAGTATACCACAAAGCATATATTGATAGACATCCTTGAAACTCTGTGTAGTTTTTCGTTAGAAGATATGAGACTGAATGTTACATCTCATTTAGAATTACTGAACTTCAAGCTTTAAAAGTACCAATACAAGATTTTTTCATTATGTTATATTGTTGAGAAAATTGAATTTTTTTCGATTTCAGTGGCTAACCCTTCCAAATGGTTAAAAACTGTGGTCGTATTTAGCAGTTTTCATAATCATAATCCAATTAGACAGAAAAATGAATAGCATATTCGGAATCGACACACAAAATTACCTCGAACCAGATATATTTAGACAAAATTTATGTTTTTAAGAAAAACTACCTGTGGTCCTCCTAAGCGTTTTTTTTTTCGAAAAATTTGCTGTGATCCCCCTCAAGGCTAACTTTTGGTACCAGAGTTTTCGTATTTTGAAGTAATACCTTAAATGATGCAGAATCTCACGGACTGTCAGAAAATATTTTTTTTTGGGCCAGCAGGATCCAGTGTGGTTAGAGAGAAAATACAAGAAAATATGACTATTAGCCAATAGCCATTTTTGCCCGTATATTGACAGTATCAATCAGTAAAATGTGTTGTAGAAATTAATGAGTACCACAATTTTGTAGAAAAAAAATTCTACATCTTTTGAAACTTCTCCGAATTCAAACGAATGAGCCAACACAGAGAAAATCGCAAAATACTAGCAGCACCCTAAAAACCTTCATTTTTCGACTAAGGGTCAAGAGTAGTGACACTGGTATGATTCGCCATTTTTCACAGGTATGTCAGAAAGAGCTGATGTTTTGGATTTAGAGGCTTCTAATGATGATCTATCATTTGAGCTGATTAAATTTTAATCCGGATAGACAAAAAGCAAAAAGTGCATGTAACGAAAATTTTTCAAAATTTTTATCGATATGGTTCTCTCGTATAATTCATGCTAATTAAATATATTTTTTTGTGATTGATAGCTTAGATATTGCTCTTCAAAAATCTATATTCAATAGCTATCCACGATTGAATATGACAAAGATAGGCAAAAAACAAAAAGGGGGTCGAAACTTATGAAACACCCTTTAGTAGAGTTCTCTTATTTCTGTCATTTTACTAGTAGTAATTTCTAAAATTTACCTTTTTGCTCTTCTCATTTAACACAATCAAATCCGGTCTCAACGTCACTATATTCGATTTTTCCATCATTTTGTTTCTCCTAAATATACAATGAGATTGCAATTCATTCATATACAGTAGTCTATTTTTTTTTATAAATGTCCATATTTTATCAGAATATTTTTTATTCTTAAAAAGACGAGCAAAACTTTTTTTGTCTATATAATTAACTGTTAATTGAATGGCAACGACCTGTAATAATTTCAGAGATGCCATCTGGCACAATTATTTTGTTTGGCGATATTTGTAACGACATTGAGAAGTTCGAGTCATCGTTGGTTATACTACGATAGATCAGAAGTATCTTGCATTACCTATCGAGATTTATTCGATGTGATCGGTATTATGTACGGATCGGGCAATCGTATTGACACCTTCAATCTGCTCGATTTCCATTGGGTAGTAGTAGCAACAATGGCAATTAGTTAGTTGCTGAAGGCGCTTCATCACATGTGATACTTGTAGTGGA